ATCTTAATAAACTAATTTGAATCAGTAACTGGATGCCTGTCGTCTCCTTCCTGTCTTTGTCATGTCATTGACCACCTTTTACCTTCTCCAGTGGTTATCAATGGAATACTACCAAATAGAATTTGTGGAAAATCCTAAGAAATTGTTAACGTAATGGAGAAGTATGATACATTTATACACAAGTAAGACACTTACAACTGTCAACAGTCTCACAACTTTGCCTAACAGTTTTGACTGGTAGCCAAACATTTTATTCACGTCAAATGGTCTATAAAGGATCAAAGTTTGACACCAAAATAATAAATTTATTTTCAACATTCCTTTTTCACTATGTTAAACATTGGGAATACGGACAGGTGTTGCTTAACAAGAGCTAAAATGAAGTTCGTTATAACAGAAATTACTATCATGCTACTACACCCTGGACTTAACCTTGTGAATGCACATGTCTTTTGAAGCACATTTCAGTCCATCCCTTGAAAGAGGGTTCAGACTATGAGTTGACTTATTTCACATTACCCAGATGTCTGTGTTGAGTTTCTGTTTGGTGAAGGTTTCGAGCAGCTTTAAAATTGAGTATCAAAATTCGGCGCGTCGGGGTATGTTATGGACGGGTCAATGGATGAGTGAGTGAGTGAGTGAGTGAGTGAGTGAGTGAGTGAGTGAGTGNTCTTAGTCGGCGCGTCGGGTATGTTACGGGTCAATGGGTGAGTGAGTGAGTGAGTGAGTGAGAGATGTATGTATGTCACACCAATCAGATTGAATCTAGTATAAACAGCCAATCAAATTTCTTCTTGTAAAGGTAAATGGTATGTGAGAAGATTTGATCCCGATACAGTTCAGAACGGCCATATTTATTCTTCAATAAAAGAGGAAGAAATATTCATATATTGGGCTTACTTCGACATTTTCTGTGAGTTAGGCTGAGAATTTTGTGGGCGGGTTTGATAATCATTTGCAACTGGACAATCAGTTAAAGAAACAAAGTGTTTGGCATATAACTACGAGCATGCGATGTAGGGTGAGCTTTTCCCATTAAATAAGTTTTTGAATTGAGTCTTAGCCGCTCTACTACTATTTGATGACTGTGGTTTCTATGATAGGATCAATTGCATTTTAGGGGGGCGGAACGCCCTTCTGGAAATGTGAAGAGGTTGTGACCAGGTTCAAATCGTTTGCGTGTTGAATTGAAACCTAAATATTGCTGCAGAGTTCGTAATGAGTGTTCCGGGCGTGTCGTTAATTCAGCATCCATTGATAAGTTTTAATTTAAAAAGCGAAGAGACTACGATTAATTTGGTCAACAAAACAAAACGATATTCTGTGACGATTTTACAATTTTAATGGTTCTTGTTTACTACTGGAATGAGAAGATACGTTTTAATGAAACTAAATCTTTTCTCTTCAATGTCATCATGGTTTTCGCTTATTCACATTAATAACCAACACGAATTGTAGTTGAAGAAAAAGGAAGTTATTTTTGTTCAAGATAACTTAAGTGAGGTATATGAAGTCCTTAGCTTTTTATTGTATTAAACACAAGGACTTTGGTAATTGAAAAATAAAGACCGATGTGTATGTTGCTGGTTTGTGATTTTTAGTCCGGCTTGGAGCGGAGTGTGACAGTTACATTCATACATTGAGTTGTTTTAGAGTGCATAATGTTCAGTGTAATGGTGGCTAGTTATGAACGAGATGAGCCTTGAGTTTTGAAACAGTTCATGAGTAAGTAGTATACAAATGGAACGAGATTTTTTTTTACGAGATATTTTTATTTTTAGTTARAAAGGTAACTTGATACTTTTGTTTTTCACAAGGAGTAAATTCAATTAGATGTCACGAATCGTCGCTTCTAGTTCTAAGTACGTGTTTTAGAGGAGACGAGACTATTAAGATTTGAAACAGTTCTAACGTTTACTGTAGTAAGTGCAGGTAATGATTGTTTTGTTCTTGTTGCATGCAAATATAACGAGATATTTTTATTTTTTAGTTACAAAGGGTAATTTGACACTCTTGCTTTTCACAAGGGAGTAAATTCAATTAGAGCTGACGAATCGTCACCACTTGTTCCCACGAGACGTTTGCTATCTTTAGTTACAAATGGTAATTTAACACTTTTGTTTTTATATGGGAGTAAATTCAATTGGAGCTGACAAGTTATCGGCTATTGTTGTCAGGATATTAAACAAAAAAAGAAGCTTTCATTTCTGGACGATTTTTACGTCTCTGCAGTAGCAGTTCCATATTTATGTTTGATGGGCATTTTATAACATTCTTTTCAGTCCGATATTTTTAAAGGTAAAAAGTATGAAAA